TTTATAGTTTAATGATTGTTAAGAATGATCTTTACTTCTATTTATAGTTTAATGATCCTTATGACTGATCTTTACTTCTAATTTTAGTTCAATGATCATTAAGACTGATCCTTACTTCTATTTATCGTTTAATGATCATTAAGAATGATTTTTGCTTCTATTAATAGTTAAATGATCATTAAGCATGATTTTACTTCTATTTATAATTTAATTATCATTAAGCCTGATCTTTACTTCTATTTATAGTTTAATGATCATTAAGACTAATCTTTACTTCTATTTATAGTTTAATGATCATTAAGAATGATTTTACTTCTATTTATAGTTAAATGATCTTTAAGAATGATTTTTACTTCTATTTATAGTTTAATAATCATTCAGAATGATCTTTACTTCTATATATAGTTTAATGATCATTAAGATTGATCTTTACTTGTATATATAGTTTAATAATTAAGATTGATCTTTACTTCTATTTATAGTTTAATGATCACTTAATGATTACTAAAAGTGATTCTTGCTTTTATATGTCATAACATGATCAGCTAGATAAAGCATAATTCTAATTACTGTTTAGTGTTTACCTAGCCAAAGTGGCAGTTAGGATGACTTTACACTTCTATATTTAATTAAATGATCAAATATTGATCACTACTTTTTACCTAGTTTAATTTGCAGCTAGAATGATAATCACCTCTATATTTTATCAAATTATCAGTTACATATAATAATTATTAATTTATATCTAGTTTGATTGGCAGCTAGAATGATTATCACTTCTATATTTTATCAAATTATCAGTTACATATAAATAATTATCATTAATTTATATCCAGTTTAATTCGCAGATAGAATTATTATCACTTCTATACTCTATTAAATTATCAGTTACATACAATGATCATTAATTTATATCTAGTTTAATTGACAGCTAGAATAATTTTTACTTTTATATCTTATTTAATGTTCAGCATAAGCTTCGATTATATCGTTTTAATTTTCATTTTTAATTTATAAAGTTTTAATTAATTAAATTTATTAACAAGATAAGTGATTAAATATTTCTTTAAGAATACCTGAAGTATAGTTAATTAAACTAGGGTTTTAGATAAAGTTAGAATTAAAATGAAATGAAAATAATAAGGGAAAAGTATGGAAACATTCACTTA